GTTAGTCCATAAAGGGAGTGGACGTCATAGTGTTTGAATTGACCCGATTCTCCCTGAACTCCAACCATACAAAGGGTTGATCTGCTCAACCGATCAAAGCCATGCACCCAAAGAGCCTCTATTTAAGGCACATTTAATTGATATTAATATTAATTGCAAACCATTTCAAAACAATAATTACTTATTTCGATGGGAATGTTATCGTATTGATTGTGTGGACACTGGATATTATATCCCTCCCCACTATCGAAAGTGATTGGCTCATTCATATCCTATTAGTAATATAAATATTACTCTTAATTTTAATCATTAATAATGGACTAGCTTAATTTAACTAGCTTACAATCCAAAGTGAATTGAATTTCCATCCAATAGAGTGCAAATGGTTGAGGTTGTCTATCCACCAGTTATGGGTAACGTTCTTAAGGAAGTCAGGCCAGGCTACCGGTCCGGGTGGCCACACACGACCGTACATATCATCGTGAGTGATATCAATTTTATCCGGATTGTGTCTGTCTTGGATGGGAATACTTTTTGGCCATTTTATGAACACATTTTTGTCATTGCCTTCACTAAAGATCGTATAATTTGCTTGATTTCCCTGAATAGCCGGGTCTATGATTGGAGTCCAATGCAGATTGTATTTGGTTTGAGTGTCGCTAATAAGTTGTGGTAAATCTTTGTAATGAACAGGATCAATTGTAAAATCCCGTCCCTGAGCCTCTTTGTAATCGCTATCAACGTATTGGACATCCTTTTAATATAAGTATATTTTTATAACATTTAAATCACAATCGATTGGTTGACATACATATGGGACCTCGTGTTTGATTTGTCGCTCGACACAGGCTTTCACTTGAGATGTGTTATGATAACCCCATTTGGATATTTGAAAGCCAAACGCCCAAAACGATGGCATAAATGTGCGACCGATTAGTGATGTGTATAACTGTATGACATGTTCGGGATTATCGCCGACAAACACAAAGAAGTCCAGAATTCCTCCGATTGTCTTAACAGATACTGCCGGCGCCGGCATAAGTGTATACTCTGTCACACAATTCATTAGTTAATATGAGATTATTTATTAAATGATATGTTTTAGATGTAATACCCATAGCATTGCTGTTAAGTAACAGAATTCCGTGTGAATTGCCATTACTTTCGAGTACTGTATAGAAGGGGTGCTGACCGTAGTTGTTCTTCTCGTCTTGCTTTACATACAAATATAATATATTTATTAAAAAAATAATATTTTATTAATATATAAAATAATTATTCATTATTTTTACTTATGAACATATTTTTAAAATTTTAAAGGATTCAAATTTTATTATCTCATTTTATTAGGCTTACACTATTGGGAGCGTTGTCCTTTGTAAATAGGGGCCAAGTCTTGTAATTAAGATTATGTCTGAGAGACGGGTGAGTATTCTCACCCAATCCGTAGACATTATTTGAGGGCAAATAACTCGCTATTTGTATGAATTGATCACTAAATACCAGTCCACCAATAGATGTGTCCAAACTATTAAGAATTTATTATAAATATTAGATATAATACTATTTCATTTGTGACTTTTTGCCTAACATTTTAGTGGAAGTACTTTTCCTTTCGATGTCAAACCCAAAGTCTGTTTTATTTAAATTAAATTTATATTTTCTGAGTTTTTCATCGATTTTGTGAAGGGGTTGTTGAAGGAGTGGAAAGTTAGACTGAATGGGGACTTCATATCTCTTGTTGTTGGCGTCAAATATCTTAACCCGGAGTATGTTTTCTGTTAAATACGTGACCTCCGTCTTCAGAGCATCCAATTGTGTGACAAGTTTTGTATCTTTTGCCGAGTCTTTCAATTTGAGAGTCGCTTCCAAACCAAAGTCAGTGTCTTTTGTTGAGTCTATTCTATAGCCGAGTTTTGCTGCATTGAAATAACAGTAAGGAATCTCTGGCTTATCCTTCACGGGATCGTAAATACATCCTCTCTCTTGACACTGGGTTTGACTCAACTGTTTGTCTGAAAATTGAAATAATTAATTTATAACTAAAATTTTTTTTTTCGCAATCTTTGAAATACAAACTCGAAATAACACAATCCAATCGATTACTATTTGGATCGACTGAATAACATAAAACAAACAATGTGAAAGTTGATAATAATTTTAATAACATTTTTACAAATAAGAAAACCTACAATGCTCGCATTGAGCACAATAAACTTATAAATGTTCAGCTCACTTTTTATATCCTATTTTATTTTTTATCAGCAGTTAGTAACGGATCTCAAAATATTGCAAAATACTAGTATTAGGAGCATATTATCAGTTTGTACTAATACGGGCACATACATTATCATCGGTTAAATAATCAATAAACTATTATTTGCCCTTATTTTTGAAAAACAATTCACAGAGATGATAACTTTTACACTTAAAATATGAACATTAGATTAAAATAATATCAATAATTTATTTCAATTTTTATTCAATTTTATTATAGATTAAGTTTTACATGTATAAATATAATTAATTAAATAATTATTTCAAATTACATGTGTTGTCAACAGTTTTCCACTCAATCTTCCATATCTGACCCTCTTTTGCAGCATTCAAATCGATATTCACTGGAAATATAATGTAATCCTCTTTTACCACAACATTTTCAATTGCTTTTCCATCGAGTAATGCATT